ATCCCAAACACAGGAGCAGATCTACAGCAGAACGGCTGATTCAGGTTCTGCATCTGAGCAGCGTTCAGAGACGCCATGGTTGGACATTAAAACAGAACAGAGTAGGCTGCAAAGAGTAGCTTCCACTTCCTCCAGAGGAACCAGGCTTAGAACCACCCTCACCTTAAACTCCTCCACAGACGCCATGTTGGCGCCGAGCATGCGCTCCTTCAGCATGGAGATGGGGTCGCTCTTACTGCGGACCTCCTGGATCTCCTCCCGGGTCCGGTAGCTGCAGAATGTCACATGACCACAAGAATCAGGTAAAGATGCTGAGGAGAACGCCACCTCAGTCAGGATTTCCTCATCTTCTGACGGAGATACACAGACCTCACACCAGGGTCACTCATGCTGTGTCCATGGTAACGATACGTCTGGAGCTCCATTATGATTGGTCCCTGCAAAACACAGGAGGTCATTCTGTCACAACCTGAAAGACTGACAGGGTTGGATTCAGGTCCTTTTTAGATCAAAGCAGTAGAACACAGGTCTGCACCCTATGGTTCCAGGGCCACATGTCGCTCTTTAAACAGCTCGTCATCACTTGGGCTAAAACGATGAAGAGTCGGCTAATTGTTTTAAACAATAGACAAACTGGCCAATAAAATGTTTAAGCATTTCTTTTTGCACTCCATTTCCTAAAACAAATTAAAGCAAAAATTATTCCCCACTTAAAGATTAAACATAAATGCAAGTAAACAAGATTTTCCAGATATATTAGCAGCCAGTCATAGATGCGTTTATTTTGTAAGCAGTGTAATGTAAGCAGCTTTAATTGAGCTTTATTAGCCAAGAGGGAATCTATTTTCCCCAATTCTCAAAAAAAAATAAAAATTGACTCCAACTATAGGAATTATAATAGAAATATACACATTTTATCTTCTTAAAAAGGGGGGAAAATGTGTTTAACATAATTTTCCAAAATATAAAACCAACCAATAATAAATACTTTGATATACATTTAATCTCATCTTGAGATTAAACATTTTAATCCCAGGTTTATTTTTTCCCTAATTTTAAAACCTAAAAGTTGAAATGGTGCAGTGGTTGTTTAAAAGAAAAAAGGATAAAACTCCAGTGGCAGATATTCATTACCAGTAAATATAAGGAAATTCTCCTGCAATGTTTTGCAGCTATAAAGCAGTTTTATTAGCTGGACTAAAGTTAAAAATGTCTCTTTTGGTTGTAAAGGTTGCAGATCCCTGGGTTAGAAGAACAGATGGTAAAGAAATGGGACATCACAGGTCAGAGGGGGAAGTTTTCACCTTTCCAGCTCTGCAGTGATCTGCTGCAAACTTTGTTGCCTCTCTGACACACAGCACGTCCATCCCGTCCACCTGCAGAGAAAACATACCCGTTACTGCATCAGCAGACCAAGAAGCTCTCATTTCTGTTCCACTGAGACTGTGTGCAGTATCATACATGAGCATCAGACAGCTGTATGCATGCTCACACCTGCAACTGCCAGGACGCGCCTCATCAGCAGCGTCCTGTTATAGTCTAGGTCCAGGGAGGGCTGGCGGCTGGGGCGTACAGCCGACGCAGCAGCCGCCGCCCGGGACCACCCAGCTACCATCTGATTGGTGGGTTTGTGTCTCACCCTGAGGCCTGGGATGAAGTCTCCTCTCTTGTAGTAGTCTGTGCTGGCTGAGGCCCTCTCCACCGAGGTCCCCATGCCGTACTTGTTGTTCTCACAGATGAAAACGCACGGCAGCTTCCACAGAGCGGCCATGTTGAACGTCTCAAAGAGCTGACCCTGATGGGAGACGGCAGATTATGTCTGATTCAGTTATCCTCCCGCCTTTGTTTATTTTGACTTTAAAAATGGTGCATGTTCATGTTTTGACAAATGAGTAACTCATTCTGGTTTTGCATCCAGAGTTTTCCTGAAATATGAAAGCATCTTGCTGATGTATTATTTTTCATTTCTGTGTTTTACTCTTTGCTTTGTGAAATTTAGTTAGTAAACAAAGCCGTTTTTGTATATTTCCAACAACAACTACTGTGCAGAGGGTAAACTAGGAACGTACTGGGACTAAACCTCCCAACAGCGGTTATAAATAATGAAGAAAAGTTAAAGATCAAGAGTTGATTCGAATTTGATTCCAGGAGGGCTAAGATTCAAACATGCTGGGAATTCAGTAGTAATGCCTTTAATTTGCAAACATTACAGTGAAAAGCTTTAAGCCTACGACTTTTAAACCCCAATTCAAGGTCTTAGACCAGGGGTCGGCAACCTGAGGCTCTGGAGCCGCAAAATTTTTGAAAAAGCTCCCTGGAGCTTTTCCAAAAATTTATGAAAATCGATTTTTTTTGTTTTAGTATGGTGTGCAGGTTGCAAACAAACAATGTTTTCCAATGCTTTAAACATTTGTATTATAAATTTAAACAATAATTTGGATCATAGCCATAGAGATCAGTGATCATAACTTGGAACCAGCGTGGCGCGGTGCCAAGCAAACAAAGCTGCAGGCGTGTCTGGGAATATGAATCCCAAAGGGAAAAAAAAGGAAGATTGCTGATGAGAAAAGAGGATTTTTGCTTTGTAATGAGAGGGTGTCAAATAAAAAAAAAGAAAAGAAAAATTTGGAAAGGCATTTCCATGGAAGGCAAAATCTGCAGCCCACCACCAAGCTGGGAGTGAGAGTACCGGTAAAAGTGCGATTGCAGGATAAATTAGAGGAGCGCAAAGATAGATTTAAGAAGTGGATTGCATTTCCAAACTTTACTACTGCTGCTAGTTTGGTTGCAAGAATGGAAAACCGTCCATAGATCAAACAGGCAGGGCTTTGATGCAGGGATCTGAACTTTCTTCTATTTTTTCCCCAAATCCTAAAAACATTAATCAGACCAAGGAACGATGGTGACGGAGGATGTGGGATTTCAGGGTTAGAGAGCTCTGCTCTGATGTTAGTTCCTGCTTGGTTCCTCATGACTCAATAAACTCCTCCCAACAGAAACACGTCCACTATAGGGATTCTTTTATTGTGTTTCTATAATTTCATCATTGCAAGAAAACTTAAACCGCGCAGTAAAGGTGGTGAAGCGGCTCTCGGTGAAGCGGTGCGCGATGGGAGCGTTCACTGTTCCTCCGTCACCTCAGGCTACTATGTGACATTTGCTTCAGGATAAACATTTAATCGTAAATGCTTATTATATATTAAACCCATATAGTCCTTTTCTATAGTGAGATAATACACTTAGAGCCCGTGTTGCTATACGAGGCTTTTACATTTTTGTGGCTCCAGACAGATTTTTTTTTTATTTTTATGGCTCTTTGAGCAGTTTGGGTTGCCGACCCCTGGCTTAGATTGTGTGAAATCTACTTAGAGTTGTTAACCATGTAACAGACTGCTTCCAATGAAAGCACCCTCTGAGTTGTATTTTCCTTGATCCCTGCAGGCCTGCGTTGCGCTCGTCATCGATCGGTCTGATAATGATGAAATGAATCATCTTTGCTCCAGATGTAAATGTGCCCGCCCCCCTGAACACCAGGATTCACTACAACTTAGAGTTGCTGTAGATCTTGCTAACATGAGGTACTGCTGGATGGTCAGGCTCCATTAATTAGCTGCCTGGATTTATCTGACCCCAACAGCAAGATTGCTCTGTCTACATGGAAATGCAGCCAGCATGAGCAAAGCCTTTAATGTATCATCAGCTCTCCTAGCCGCCATCTTTACAAACTGACAGGCTGTCATGGTAGTGGGTTGTCAGGGCACATTGTTTGGATGGGTTTGCCACAGATGCACTTTGACCTTTGACTTTGTGCACCAATTGTTTTCAGGTATCTCACGGTTTAAATCATGGATTCAGAGAAACCATAGAAGTTAACGTTAATGTGACCTTTATTCCAGTGAAGCTGAAGCCCTCACCTGATTGGCTGCTCCATCTCCATACAGCGTGACACAGATCTGATTGTTGCCTTGGTACTGACAGGCCAGAGCGATACCGGCTCCCAGCGGCACCTGGACAGTTCACACCTCCATTGTTTATACAAGTAACGTAAACCAGAGTGCAGTTTGCTGTTAATGATAAAAATAAAACACCAGAAACTGATTTTCTGAAAGACTTTTGGTGGCTACCTGCGCGCCCACGATGCCGTTCCCCCCATAGAAGTGAGGGGCGTACATGTGCATGGAGCCGCCCTTCCCTTTGGCCACGCCCCCTTTGCGACCTGAGGAGAGCAGAGATGTGACTTTGCATCGGCCATGTTGACCATCAGCAGCGGCGAGGCTCACCTGTGAGCTCAGCCAGGATCTCTTTGACGGAGACGCCGCGGGTGTAGGTGTAACCATGAGCTCGGTAAGCTGTGATCAGATGATCCGAGGGGTTGATGGCCGCCTCGATGCCGGCAGCACACGCCTCCTGTGTTTGGACAAAATACAATAAAAATGGCTTCCCACATGACGTGATTTTTTTTTACTCTGGCATTGTAAAGTAAAATAAATTAGATATTTAAGATAGTTCAAAATGTCAAAAGAAAATGCACAAATAAATAAATTAGATCTACATGTTTTTGTAATATCCAACATTATTCTGTCAGACGACACGTTTCAGTCCAGGATGCTTCGGGAACCGTGCCATGATCCATTATTCACTAGATCAGTTTACATTAACTATTAAATTGTAATTAACATAGAATTTGTAAAATAGAAACATTGCTATTTTGAAAAAAATTTAAAAAGATCTGCTTTGATGAGGTGCTTATTCAGTCGCATCATAATTATATTTAGCAAAACTGTAATGGAAACGTTATCAGCAGCTGGAGCTCAAGGCCTTTTAAAAAGGCCCAGAAGCAGTTAGTGGATGATAGTGCTGCATATTTGGATTATTTTAACATTTAGTTCACCACGATGAGCACTACAGCCATGGCTGAAATATAGATACATCTGAGGCGTTTACATCCACTGCTGCCATTTTGTTTTAATGGGTGAAAATGCGTATTCAGGTGCAATTTCAACTGGATTTCTTATTAAATTGGAAATACCACAAAAATCAGTAGGACATCCAGAGCTTTGCTCACATTTCTACTGGAACAGCAGCTAGCAGCTGTGTCTTTAAACCAAGGCCAAAGCATCACCCATCCACCACCGTGCTGCTGACCCAGTCTGTCCAGAAAAGGCGTCCCTGAAGTCTCTGGCTTCATGATAAAGCCCCTCAAATCGTAGCGTAGCGTTTAACCTTCTCTACATACATTCTCTGCTCTTTTGAGTTAAAGTCAGAGTATACCAGTAGATGTCGGATACATTTTCCCCATTTCTGACTGATATTACAGTATAAATAGTTTCTAAAATGCTTTTCAACCTCTCAGAAGGTTATTGTTAATGTTTCCTCCTGAGTGAAGCAGGAGAGGTTTTCCTGGCCGTACCTGTCCATCGTAGAGGTGACAGAAGCCTCGGATGATCTTCTGCTTGTAGAGCTGATCGGCTTTCAGCTCCATGCGTCTCACCATCTGCATGGTGTGGTAATACTGCAGGCCTTGCTCCCTCGTCAGCTCCGCCTTCTCTGGAGGCCCCGCCTCCAGACTGTGCAGGTCACATTTCTACAGGAGAGAAACGGGCAGAGTTAGACCTTTCCTACTTTTAAATAGGTTTAATTTTCCCTTTATTGGTTCAAACATACAATCAACACCTCCATGTTTAGTTTGCATCAGGAGAGGCTGATGAGGACATTTGGTTTCTGCTTACCTTGATGTCAAACGTCGCCTGTGGAGTGAAGTCGGATAAGGAGCGGGAGACGACGACCCTGGCGCCCTGAAAACAGAGCGGTCCTGATTAACTGGAGCGCCGCTTCCATCAGAGGACAGAATCACAGAGCTGCTGTGAGCAGAATCAGGGCTGCCTTCCTGGGACAGACGGGGTGTGGGGGTGGGAGGGGGGCAGGGTTGGGTCCGTCTGTTTATTCTGTAGCTACAAAAAATATGTAAGGTTAACAACAAGGCGGGAAAACCGCATTAATGAAAAGCTTTCAGTTTAGTTTACCCAGAAAATATGCCTTAAATATGCCCCCCTCCCCACTCAAATCAACACTTTATCGACTTTGTAATGAACACTAACATGAATATATACAGAAATCCTGCTGATAACTAATGACTGGGATGTCCTCTGTAATATAAAATACAATTAAATCTATTTCTTTAAACACAGACGTACCGTCTGGCTGTGGTTACATTTAATAGGAGAATAGACCTGCTTAGTTTGCCATTTCTTCTTTAAACCCGAAATCAAATCATTTTTTATCCTGGAGATCTTGTATCTGTCATTTCTAGGATCAATGGAAAACTAATTAAAGGAAAGATAAGTAGAAATTTCTTAAAGTAGGTACATTTACCCTTAATTTGGCAGCTAAATAAGACCATGGAGAGCAAATAAAAGTTTTTCTTTTTACTTATTTAAGAAGGCAGGTTTCGCCTGTGCTCAGCTAAATACACAAACAAATACTGAGCTCCAGCATTTATAAACATGTCCCCAGATGCAGCTCTCCCTCATCCTTTAGACACGACAGATACATCAGAATATATACAGGCTGCCTGGTTATAAACACGTCCAGGTGATTAAACACCACAGGCATTTAGCAACTCCATTAGATCATGTTTTATCCACCTAATTCACCTCACTGTCAAACTCCTGTTTATAAAAAAAATAAAATAAAAACAGGATTATTTTATCGTTTCAAATCAGAAAAGGCTAAACTTTTTAAAAAGAAAAAAAGTAAACCAACTTTTAGAATCCAAACTTGTCATTAGGACATCCGTTTGCAGGAATGAGACAAACCATCTCCTCCATGTAGCTTTACTTATATTTCATGATAAAGTTCTCCTTTAATGTAAAGTTAATTTACTTTTTGTTGCTCATTCAGCAATAATCAGTTTCAAAACTTTAGACAGATGAAACTCACTTAGGTTTTCTAAGGTTATTCTATAAACATTATTCCTCAGGTCATGGTTGAACAGAATTGCAGCCCCACTTAAAGAACATAAACATTCTAAAGAATGAATGCTTTCAGAAAGCTTGACAGAGACCAGCTTGGTTATTTCCCATAGTTTTAATAATTAATAAATGGTTTTCAGCAGCCAAGTCATGCAGAAGCTCTGGTTAGGTTCCCCAGCCCAGTTAGTGAGCAGCCAGAAACCACAGGAGGATCTTACTGGTCCGTCTGGCCGGCCCGTCTGGGTGCTAACTAAGTGTGCAGCGCTGGCTGGTGGTGGTTTAGGTGGGAGCCGCCGGGCCGTGGGGGCTGCTGGCGCCGCCGCCTGTGGGGACGTTAGATTGACGTACTCTGACAGGTCAACCAGCAGCTGGGGAGCACAGGAGCCAACCAATGAGAGCTGAGCCAAGCCAGCGGAGCGCTAACTGAGGCTACGGGTGAGGAGAGACACCACGACTGGAGGCTAAAACCATGAGGAACGGCGTCTACGTGCTGCTCATCGCTCACAAACAGCACAACTTTACATGGAGGCCATCTTTTTATCCTCCAAAGATTTCCCAACCTCACGCTCAATCTGATTACTTCAGATCTAAAACAAATAAACTAAACAGAAATCAACTCTGAACTCCAAATATTATAAAACCTTAACAGCAACAATATCGGTTTCTATTAAGAAGACACATCAGTGGTGATATCTGCCAATTTTCTCTTTTCCTTCTAGCCCCATGAACTTTGACCTTTTGAGCTGCTAAGGGATGTAGGTGTTTGATGTTTAGGCCACAGATATTGGAAGCAACAGCTTTTAGAACTACCAATCAATCCTAAACTCCATATATTGCATTTACGTTGCTTTAAAAGTGATATTGAGTATTAAAGATGAAATAAAACTAAATTTATTGTGAGGTTGGCATTTAATCACAGAGCTATCTGAGCTTTTTCTTTTTGAGCCATTAATGGGTCGCTTCTGAATGAATCTAAACTGTACTGGATTCATTTCATTTCAATATTTTCAGTTAAAGTAAAAACTTTTCACTTTTACAATTGAAAGAAAAGTCAACCGTAACTAGGACTATTTACTTGGTAATTTTTACCCTCCCATTAAAATAAACTACAGATTCAAAACAAGTTTGTTGATCAATAAATGAGGTATTTGGCACTAAAAGATTAGAAGCAGTTTTAGTCATTTAAGTGGGAGCTGAAGCATTTGGTTTGCAGCCAGACTAAGTTAAAACACTCTTAACTAAATGTTGTGCTGATGTGAACTGCTGACACCAAACCTGAAATACAGACAGGGGGGGAGATCTAGGGTTTATCAGGATGCAAAAGGATAAAACACTTCAGGTAAACCTGGTCGCTGCAGAGGAGAGGGAGGAAGGACCAAACACCAGCTGCTGCTTACCTCCGACACCGTTTGGGCTCCCTACAGTGGAGGAGCGGGGGGAGGGGGGGTGGAGGAAAGGAGGGAGAGAAGCAACAAATAAATAATGGGGGACGTTTAATTTATGAAGAATGGAGGCAGCAGAGCAGGAAGCAGGAGAGAAAAAGCTGGCAGAAAAAAAAAACATGGATCCTATAAATCCGACTGAGTTTGTTTGGTTCTTAAGGCTTCGATTAGGGAGCTGCAACACTTACAGTTCAGACAGCCAGTTCAAAAACCCTTTAGAGGCAAAAAAAAAAAAAAAAATGTAAGGAACCAGCCTTTTATTACTAGCATTCAGATTTAAACAAAAACTTGTATAACTTTTGCAAAAACAAAATGGATCCGGAGTTTATGATGCCAGGTGAAGTAAAACGATCACAGAATCTTCTGGTATCTTTCTGCTGTGGAAGCTGAATGCTAATATTCCCATTAAGGAAAACTGCCGAACCAGTATTTCTTTTTTGTTAAATCCATATTTACAAACTTTTGTTCTTTATCCATTTTAAGCAATATTACAAACAACCGTTATAGAAGTTCCAAAGACTTAGACAAATTTTTTTGTCGTACACAGAGTGTATTCAAAGGAAATTTCCTTTTGTACAGCTTTCATGACATTTCCATTTCTTAAATTGCAACAGAACAGCTGCAGGTGGCAGATCCCCAGCTAAGATGGAATCATAAACACATCTGGATTAAAAAGAATTGATGTTGGATGTATGGTCGGTGTCTGTAGGAACATGCAGTCACTGAACGCACCACAGTATCAAACTTTCAGTGTTGCGTCCAGGTTTCACTACTGATATAGAAATGCTGATAACCAGAAACAAGATTTAAAATGTTGCTTTATTTCAAAACAATAAGCCTGATTTTTTTTTTTTTTTTATAAAACATTAAAATCTAGAAGTGCTCTTCATTTGTAGTTTCCCAGTGTTTTGTCCAAGTTTTTGGTTGCGGTTTTATTTATTTTTTTAAACCTAGTTTTATAGTTTGGATCAATAAAGTTTCTTCATGCATAAAGAACCCAAATTTTTCTCAGAACTTGTTGAAAGCAGTCAGCAGGTTGGAACCAATAATTCCCAGAAGTGACAAATTCTACAAACATCTCACAAGGTTTTAATTTAAAGTATTTCCAATTAGATTTACAGGGTGCTGGTAGTTTCCTCCAGTGGTACTCCACCCCTCCCCCACGTGTTGCTGCACAATGCTGATCAGTCCCCTGAAAGGAGAGATCCCTTCATTTGCCCTCTATCTTCCTGAAAAGTTTGCCTTTTTTATGTTTCAGGTCTAAATAACAATGACTGATCAATAATAAAAGAGACAGAATGATGTTAACTGGAAATAAATCCAAGCTGGTTTCATTGATAAACAAAACTTTCTCTAACTCCTCAGAAAGTCCCGCTCCTTTGAGCAAAAGTTAATCCAATCAACTAAAGGTTTTGCAGCCTGGAGCCAACAATCTGAATTTCCCTTCATGTTTAAACTGAATTTATTAGGAAATAATATTTAATTAGCCAAGCTGTAAAGAATTAGATGTGACTTGGTTATCTTTGTCAGTATAAACCGGTGCTGATAGGTTCAGGTATCCCCTTATTAAACAGAAGATAATTCACATTACAGACAAAAATAAAAACCAAAACACCTCTAAATATACCCTAAAATTAAATAATTAACACACATGTTCAGAGAATGTTATCCAAACAGAAATAAGGTTACATAACTACAGGAAAACAGACAATTAGCTGCTGCTGCTAAAGGGTTAGCTAACTGCTAGCATGAACCGGTTCCGTCCAGAACCTCTGAGTTCGGATCGACCCACTCACCGCATTCTTCCCGGTGATCCTGCACAGAGCGTTAGAAATGATCGCCAACATGGTTTTCATGCTACTGAAGGGCACGGTGACTGCTGAGAGGATTAATGACGGCTGCTAGCCGCTGAGGTCCGTCCGCTGCTTGTGTCCCTACGGAAAATGCTGCTTTTAAATAAGAGTTCCATGTCACGCACAAAACAAAACAAAAAAAGAAAAGGAAAAAGGTTCTCAGTGTGTTGATTGATTGACTTTATTGATCTCACAGTGGAGAAATAAATTATAATTGAATTACATCAGCTAAAATAGTTTTTTTAAAGCAGGATTATTATACAGGGTATTTACATGGGTATTTATATAGATGGATATTTATATATGTAGTTATTGCACAGGGTATTAAATAATAAACTAGCCATTGTAGTGTGGCATCGTAGAGTGTGGTAGTATTAAAAATCTACTTCTCAAAATTAAATACAATGAATGACTAAAACAAGACTTTCTCAATCAGAGGTTTAAACTAGGTCAGAGATAATTAGCAGAGCCAATGTGTCATTATTCAAAGCATGGATAAATATGTTTATCAGTCTACTGAGAAATCAAATGATACAACATTATATATAAAACTTAAAAAAAAAATATTCCAACTTTTATCATTTTATAATTTCACTCTTATTTTCTTAAATGGTAAACATTTGTGTTTACAAAAATAAGCATAGAACAAGAAGCAGAACATATAATGAGGTATACCAAGGTGATGGGTATCTACTTTTAGACATGCAAGGGAGAAAAAAAATGAACCTAATGAAAATAATTTAATTGATTTAAAGCACTCATATCCATTTATATTTTTTTCTTTGTACATTTGTAAATCGCGATGGATATAATTGAAATTCTTAAACCACTGTTGGAAATAAAATGTAAGGATAATGAGAACTTCCATTTATGAATAAGAAATGTGCAGAAAAATATTAGATTTGTTGTCAGTATCTTATATTTAATCATGTTAGTAGGGTCAATCCTGTGCATTTTCTAATCAAAGGTTTCTCATGAAATATCCATATTTGCTTCTATTGTTGATCCAGGGCAGAGGTCCAACAATAGAAACAGCTGGAGGTATGCTCATCACATCTGGCTGGAAAAAGATTTCTATAGAATGACAAAAAACATTATATATAATATCTATTCTTTATAATATGTATAATATAATATATAATAAAAATGCATTATGTTTATTGGTGATTTTTTTATGATTGAATTAAGCGAAACTTGATTGATTGGACTATTACCAGAGACCATTGTCTGACATCTATTTGCTATATCTCCTTACTGCTCATCAACTGTTAAGCTAATGGACTGAACGTTATCAGACTCTACCTCAAGAACTCAGCTGAACTCTTTTTCGTTTACAATTTCTTTTCTCTAGTGTTTGATTAGTGTATTAAACCTAATGATACTATGAGGGATTATTAGTTTTAATAAATAAAGTGCCTTTCTGTTTAAAAAAAAAGAATGACAAAAACAAGCTGCAGCAACGATAATATCAGCTACGATTAACACAGATTGACTTTCAACAACACTATCTCTAAATAGTTCATATTTCATTCGTTACACTTTTACACTCTTTAGGAGGACAGCAAGGGTATATGTGAGGTCTAATTCATTCTTAGTACACATCTATTTTTTATTTTTAAGCTGATCAACCAGGAGGATTTTATTTTGAAAGCATTCAGGGTTAAAATAATGACTTAAACTCTTTAGAAAAGCTTCACACGAAAATCCCCATGATGAAGTCATCCCATAACCTGCCCAGCAGAGGGCGCTGTGGTGACTGTCACAGCTTACTGGACCCACACCATGCATCCACCCCTCTGTATGACCAAACACTAACTTCAGACACATCTGGGAGGATGTGTGAAAAACTTCAGATCCTTTTATTATAAATTGATACTTTGAATTTTAATTGAATTTTATTGATTTCACACTGGAGAAATTTATTTCTGCATTTGAGCAGTGGGCTGGCATCCTGCGGCACCCGGGAGCAATCAGGGGTTAAGGGCCTTGCTCAGAGAGTCAGAGTGGCAGTCTGTGGGAGTGGGTTTTGAACTCACAACCTCATGATTCCAAGCCCCATGCCCTAACCACTATCCCACCACTCCCCATTTAAAGAAGATTTATGGCCTCTTTGCTGCAAGCAGTTATGGCTCACCACAAATATAAAACTACAGTCGTAGTAGGACTGCTTGGTGGCTCACTGTTGCATTGCTAACACGAATAAACATCCATTTCCCGTCCATCGCCATGTTTAGGATGATGAAGAGGAAAATGTTGGCTTCTCTCCAAACCATCCAACTATAGGAGCTTTTCATCACTTAGACACACGTGAAAAGTTCCTCCATTAGTCAAATGCTGTAATGCCAACTTCCACCAGGCTAAATTAAAAGAAAAGTTTTCTAAACCTCTTCCTTCCTCTGATTTTAAACTTTTATCAAGTATGTTTTTTGTAACATTAAGAATTTCTCCTCAGATTAAAGTAATTTAGATTAGACAGCAGTAGTGCTAGTAGTAGTACGTCAATATCACAATACTGTTACAGCCTTCCTGTATATTGATCAGGTAACACATAACACAGAAAATAAAGATAAACATAAAAGTAAATGCACTGCATAAATATCAAACGTAAAAACAAAATTCGTTTTTAATTGATATTTTAAAATGTTAAATATCTCCAATCTTAGACCAAAGGTTAGCAAACCTAACAGTGCAGTCCCTCTGCTAAGTTCTTGAATTTTTTTTCATTGTATTTTTAGGATTAAAGTCTCAATCAATACTTTTTCAGACTTCTTGCAGGAATTTCTATGTTTTTTTTTATTCAATGAGTTCTTTGAAGTTAAAGCTGCCTTTGACTGTTGAAGTTAAACTGCTGACTGGTTTTAGTTTAAGGTTGTGATCCAGCTGCTTTACTTTTTTAATATGTTCTTTTTTTAAACTTTCTTCTATATCATTTGTTGTGCTCCAATTGATTAATTTGTTTTGCAAATCTTTTTGATTTTATTTTTCTGCTATTTTGTTATCTAATCCATGTAAAACTCTTTTAATTCTCCTTGTACTAAATTGTGCTATATACATAAAATTGCTTTGCATTCTTTCTCACAATATGGCAAATCTCCTAATTTGTCCTTTAAAACTGAGAGGAAACAAAGACAGAAATAAGATAAATGATGTTATCAGCAGATATTTTCTGTCATGTCTAAAAACAATAAAGGATCCATCCAAACGACACAGTGCCTCAGAGATGCATCTCCTCTCTGTCACCCCACAGACCTCTGATCAGATCAGAAACCTGATTTTTTTTTGGCAGACTGACCTAGTTGGTATCTATTTATGCATTAAATGAAATAATTTAGAGAAAATTGCTTTTGTGACATGAGGCAGGTAACAAACCACCCCAGTATGGTTTAATGATGGATCTAAAGAGCAGCCAAAGTCCACAGAAAACTCTCCACAAACACTGATGGAGAGGAATGTAAGGAATAACAGAAACCCTCATTAAAAATGTAACTAAACTAAATGAGAACTGGATCAAAACTTATTCACTTTAAGAAGGGAGGGAACCTGACAGAATGTCGGGTTTGAAATAGCATTAAAGACACAGGAAGGACTGTTAATGAGGTAAATATAAAACGTATTTATTGCATTAAATGTCACCCCAACACTTGCAGAAACAAAAAGTAACAGTCTGTGCATATCTGTCAGTTTAACCGTACTTTACTGTTATGGTCATCACTCAGCTTTAGTTCTTTATATATGTAAATATATAATAGAGCCTCAGATATCAATTGTTTTAGTAATCTATTGAACTTTTAATCACAATAAACCCTCAATAAACAAGGATTTAAACTGAAATTAAACAAAAAATTAAAATACAAATGTGTTGTAACAAAAAACAAAATCTTCTGTTAACAAATGGGAAGGACTATATCCTCCTATTACTATATATATATATATATATATATATATATATATATATATATATATATATAGTAGTAGGTTGGGAATTGTGTGGCTGCTTAGAAGCTGCATGTAAAGGCTTTATTGTTTTAAAAGGAATACATGATAAAGCTTAAATATCCACAGCAGATAAACTTTGGTAGAAAAGCAGCTTAAAGTATCTGAAGTGCGTCTGTGGTCTCATATAGCTGTGGTTTGCTCCTCTGACCTCTCAGGACTCCACGGTTTGGTTAAAGTGTCTTTTCCCGTCCAGGTAGAGCATCGACTCTGAAACAAAACAAAATCCTGGTTAACGGAGGCGATGGAGGCCAAACGCTGAGGAGTAGGAGCTCAGAAACAGAGCAGAGGGAGGAGTTAGGACACAGGAGGGAAACGTCAGGCTAACCTCCGTACGTCCTGGGAACGATGCTTGGGACGTCCCGGTCCGAAGCGAAGGTGTAGTGAAAGATGTTGGTGGTGTTGTGCTGCTGAGTCAGCGGGTCAAACACCTCACTGTGAACTCTGACCTGGATGTATTTCCCCTGGGTGTAACACACCTGAAGCACGGAAATAGAAACAGCTTAGAGGTTCTCCACCATTTCAGCCTTTTTACAAAACTCTTTCTGAGCACTGATTTAGGCAAACCTGGGTTTTATGTCACTAAATTAGAAAGCATAGGGACCTGTGGGGCTGTTTGATAAAAATATATTTATCATCACACAATTAACAGGAACATTAGAAGAAAATAATAAAACTAAACTTTCTTTATACAGGTTTAACAGAACGATCTGATCTTGAATCATCATAATTAGTAGGTAAAAAAAAAAAACTAAAAAAAGAAAACTCACCTAACTCCACACTCACAGTATTAAACATTTAGATTGCATTAAAAGACAAGCATACTCCCTTGTTCTCTAAGGGAACTCCTGTGGTTCGCTTCCAGCTGTTTTTCTAAGCCGGTTTAACTTCTCTATACCCCTTTTCAGATCATTTACATTAATCCATGTAAGTTCTCTGGCTGTATTTACTATTAGGTTTATTTGGTAGAGAGTTTTGTTTCTTTTTATGTTCAGGTAAATTTAGTTAGTTTGGAAATTGGTGTTTCCTCTGACAGGAAATCCACCAATAACTGAAGGATGATTGCCTGACCTGGGAGGAGAGCATCAGCAGGGAGCCGATCTCCACGGGTTTCTGGAAGAGAATATCATCGACGGCCACCAGACTCGGCCGACATCCACTGAAAAGCACAGAGAGGAGAGAATCAGAACTGATCTGGCGCCCCAACAGAACCAGACTGATCCAAATATCTCACCCAAAGGAGCAGGCGTTGGCCCAGCCCAGCTCGTAGGCTTTCCTCATGAGAAAACCTCCAAATATCCTGTTGAAGATGTTTCTCTGCTGCTCAAGACACAAACATTTAGGAGTAAATAGAAACTTCATCGGTTCTAAAACTGATCTAAGGTGGGATAACATCAATTCCCCTTAAAACTGTTTAAAACAACACAAAGTTTAATCTACCAATGGACACCAAGTTCATGTTATCTCCATTAGGATTACTTCTGCTCACTAATGCAGAATGATGAGAGAAGATGATTTAAGGTCTATTTCAACTGAAAAGCCACTCCGGGAGGAAGAAGCCATTAAAAACACAAAACAAACCAGATTATAATTTGGACTCTGAGAGAATGAACTCATAGTTTGGACATGAAGAATGAAAGAATGAAGAGTTTGGCCATGATGACCAGACTGGTGATGCATTTAGAGGAAAAAGGGGAGGAAGCTTCCAGGAAATGTGATGTACGAGGGTGGCAGCACCATGCTGTGGGGGTGTTTTATTGCAGGAGGGACTGATGCAATTCACTAAACTGATTTCATTATGAGTAAAGAACATTATGTGGAAATAAAGAAGCAAAATCTCAGAATATCAGCCGGGAGGTTTAAGATGGGTCTATCAGAAGGACCAGGACCTTCAGAATACCACAGAGAATCAATGGCTTAAAAGAGCAGAAACAAAGACCTGATCCAAGTACGGTAGGTATGGAAGCTGAGAGCGGTCATGTCCCTCTGATACTTTTTCACTGTGGTTTTCTGGAGAAAACAAGTTCATTTTCACCTTATCTAAAGATAACGAAAGCCGTTTTTTCGTGATAACGAGATGATTGGTATATGTTAAAACTGATTACCGGTACATCCTTTAATGCCACAACAGTGGGAGAGGATTTATAAGTCATGGCAGCCTAACTGTAATTCTGTAATAAATAATCCTGTGTGAGGCGTGCTTTGGTGACGCAGTGGTTAGTACACATGACCCATGTATGGAGGCCTTAGTCCTCGATGCGGGCGACCCGGGTTCGAATCCAGCCTGTGGTTCTTTCCTGCATGTGTCTCCCCTTCTCTCATACCCCCTTTCCTGTTAGGCTGTCCATCATAAAAAACGGTCCACTAGTGCCATAAATAAAATAATAATCCTGTGTTTAACTTTCAGGTAACAAGACAACATTGTTGGTTTGATGATTTTCTTCCACTTCTGATTCATAAGCAACTAGACCCGTGCCTCCGGGTTACGCCCCCAGCCCCGGTGTTACGCCTCTAACAGCTATAAGATGCATTAACCCCCAATATGAGTCCAGATTTAAAATTTTCATTCAAAAACATTCAGATTTGTTTCGACTATATACCATAAAATCCAGTCATCCACCATGATCTGACAATGAGTAAAAAGAGAAAGGAAACTAAAAAACGGATTATTTGTGCGCACGAGGTACCACAACTGCACAACTATGGGCCCTACAGGCATGGATGGACTGGGAATCCAGGGCTGTTGGTCTGCCTCATTCATTACTCATAAAAGGTTAATCATCTTGTTATCTCAAGATTCAATAAATGTTTTCTCATTCGAGAAAATAATAGTTTAAACGTGATAATGAGATAGTGATGTCGTTACCTCAAGAAGGCAAAGGAAAAAAAAAGTTGAGTATGACCGCTCTAGGGCTCCGTACATAGGACATGGGGCCCAAGGTTGGAAAGAGTGAGAGCAAGACGGCCTGCAAACTAAACTGTTTGGACGAACCGCCCAAAAATACCAGCAAGTTGTGGAAGGAGGGAGAGAGAGAGAGAGAGAGAGAGAGAGTAGTAATAGTCTTCTGTCTGTGGTCACCATGGCACCTCTGCATGAGTTGCATGTTTTACCATCACCATGCCTCAGACAGTTTTAAATTATAAATTAAAATGTATTCTGGCAAAGCTCTGGATTCATGCTGGAAAATGTTCACATTTTTTATATTTTGTTATTAACTAAATTTTAAGCTCTGTACTATTCAACCAGGACATAAATTAAAAACAGCTGAAGTGAAGCTTTTTCCTCCATCCTGCAGTTCTTCTGTCTCACCTGAGGGTGGCAGATCTCCAGTCCTTTCAGTTTAGCGTCCTCCATCCAGACAGACTTTGGAGGTAAAATTCTGCTGCGGAAACTAACCGTGCTGAAACAGGAGGGGACATAAAGCTGCATGAAGGACGTCTGATAACAACAGAAATAACTTAACATGTTCAAAGCAAAGGCTGCAAGGCCAGGAGTCAGCTGAGCTGCTGTCCTGCTGCCTTTAGATGCATCCCTGCTCTAATCAAATGGAATCAAACAAACAGCTTAAAGGAGCCCTGAAATGGAAACTCTGTGTTTGGATTCAGCTACAGGACAGCAGCTCTGCTCTGCTCATACTTTGTGTCCAGGGTGTTAAGAAACAGATCATGGATGATCCTCCTCTCCTCATCTGCTGGAGCGACCTTCAGCAGCGACGCTGTGCTGAGTTCAACACGCCGAGATTTATTCGCTGGAGAAACAAGGAGGATCAGACATTATTCCAACAGATAACAAGGTCATCTGATGCTGGGCTCTCCAACAGAGGTCCTGCATGTTTCAGATGCTACGCAATGAGCGCCTTACCTCCTCTGCAGGCTAATAACCCTTTTATTCAGGGGAGGCAAACAGCTAAACATGCAGGAGCAGGGTTGGAGCTGTGAAATATCAAAGTGACAGACCTTCTCCTTCCTGCAGGAGCTTCTCTTCCTCTGGACCTTCAGGCTTCAGGGGATTCACAAACGCAGCCCTGCAGAGAGGAGAGATGCAGCAGAAACAACTAAATCAGCCAAAGCAGGTGGGAAGGTTATTTATTTAGTGACGTAGATCGTTTTGCTGGAACTTCCCGCAGGAGGGGTGTTCATTTACCTGTTAATAACTCTGTTTCTCCAAACTACAGTGAAATAATCACACTGTTCTTATTTTTAAGTAATTTCTTTACAATAAATCTGTTTATTTTTCGATTTTTATCTTTCTCTTCCAAGGCAAAGAAAGGATTTTCACTGCTTCTGTCTGTAGAAGCTTTTGCCGTTTAATGTGAGCTTTCAGTCAGAAAGAAGTTCAAAGCTTTCTGACCCAGAGCTCCATTAAAAAGTAAAAACTTGCACAGAAACCAGTGAGTGGACTATTTTAGTTTCCCAGCACCTTAAGAAAGACATTTCCAGGTTGTAGTCCTGCTGCAGCATCTGTAAGTTTAAAGAATTATCTGAAACCAAACTGAAATCGGCCTCCGTTTGCATTTTTAAAAACCTCTTTGTACTCTAAAGTTTCCCAGTTACATCTATCTCTACCTAGTCAACATTAGAGTGTATTTTTAAACATACCCCGTCTCATGTTACGGTGAATAAAATCCATCTAAAACCTCATTCTTTGACCTGAAACAGCCTCTATTTGGGTTCTGATGGATTCTCAGACTGATGTGGTTCTGAATGGTTTGAATCAGCAGCAGGAACATTAATCTCCAGCCTTTGAAGTCTGGTTCCATTCAGCTTTTAGATGCGTCTCTTATCTAACAAACCGGAATAAACAGCTAATTTTATTACTCAACATCTAGTATAATTCTTTAGAGATCTTCTATCGCTATAATTATTTGATAAATGTCCAGAAACAAAGACAAAAACTTGACATCTAAACAAAACTGGACAAAGACACCTATAAAGTTAGCATAAATATTGAGTTTAGGTGTCATTTTTTTAGTGCTTCATTTGGCACGGTTGTAGGATTATTAATCACTATAATGTTGTTTTCTGGATTTAAAAGGAAATGTAGATATAATGAAACAGTTCTAATGTCTCACTGGGAGTTACTGTTTTTTTTCCTAGCAGACGTGTAGGCCATGATCTGCCTAAACCTACGCTAACTTTCCAAAGTTTTTTTTCTTCATATTGCAGGACGGAAAACAAAACTTTATTTTATGCTTTATTTTATGCACTCTGATGGATTCTCAGACTGATAAGGTTCTAAATTCCAGTCTTTGAAGTCTGGTTCCATTCAGTTTTTAGATGCGTCTCTTATCTAACAAACCTGAATAAACAGCTAATTTTGTTCCTCAACATCTAGTATAATTCTTTAGAGATCTTCTGTTGCCCTAATAATTTGATAAAGGTCCAGAAACAAAGACAAAGACTGGAGTTTGACACTTGTGACCTAAAGCAAAGTGTGTCAGTGCTGCATGGTATAGATGGATCTGGGGTTAAAACAAAGCAAAGATAATCAGGAAGGAAGTTCAGCAGTAACCCGGCAACAGAACATTAGTTTGCAGTTTTTTCCTCCACTTTTAGCAACTTCTCTACTTTAATTTGCTGTTGCTGCTCTAACTTGTAAAATAGACATTTTTATTTGACCTTCATCAGTTGGACATTCTGCAATTTTTCAAACCCTTTTTATAGTAATATCCACCTGTATATTATATTTGGCACATATCCAGCTGTATATTTAGTTCATAACACTAGTTATCTCAATATTATTTTCATTATTTATAATATTATTCATCTCTATACTTCAGTTCAGTAGAAACCCATCTCCTGTATTTATGGAACCATTATTTATCCTGCACTTGCTGCTATTGCACCTCTGATTAGACCTAAACTGCATTTCGTTGCCTTGTACCTGTACCTGTGTGTGTAATGACAATAAAGTTGAATCTAATCTAATCTAATCTAAATAACTGCACAGTATCAACGGTAACATTTTAACCCTTGTTGTAATTTATTCTTTCTTCAAAACAAGTTTTTGGATTGTTTTGGGGGTTTTTTCCCCCCCTTTTTTTGGAAAGGATACTGAAAACAAGAATAATATTTATGGCATGAAATAATAAATGGAATTAGGGTATGATTATATAATTTAAACTTCATCATACTCCTTTTCAGACTCACAGTCATTGAATAAGTTATGCATTAACATGAATTTGAGTCTGTAAATTTGATAGAAAGGTATTGTATTTACATTTAGAAACATTTTATTACATTTTGCTGGTGAGATGTCTGTCTGAAATAAAAAAGTATCATTATCATCATTCTTTTTTATTTTCCTGTGTAAATCTCCCTTCTATAAAAGCTTCTCACTTTGCTGCTGCTGCACCAAAATCTTCCACATTGCATACCGGTAATTTCTGTTAATGTGATTTAGCTGCGATGAACCAAGGGAACCATGTAAAACAGGCAGGACAGCAGCTCTGGACAGATGGACGTTGCTTCTTTAATGTGGTCTGCAGGTAAAAGAGCTGCAGTGGAATCTGAATCCAGTAGGAAACCAGAGCAGCCGTGAAGGCAACGTAAATATGTGCAACATCACACTAGCAAAGGGCTGTTTGGATGCAATGTTTAGGAGGAAGCATCACAAGCAGGACAATAATGCATCTCAGGGTGTATTATAGCAGAAATTGAGTGAAGATTATCAGTCATCCAGGTCAAAGTCATTCCCGCCATCATCGCAACCCCAACCCCTGTACAGGAGAGCGGGAGACCTCGCCTATTCAGCCAGGCCATCGATGCCCTTTGACAGACATATTCAGGTATGGGGCACTGCAGGCTAACAAAAGAAGCTTAACGACCCCCATTCCAAATGGGTGGACCCCTTCTTCAGTGTCAATTTGCAGGTTTTCAAATAAAAAACAAGGCTTTGTTGGGCTACTGTATAAAACCTTGAACTTAACGCTACTCCTGACATTTTTAATTGAAAAAACTTCCTAGATGGGAAGCAAAATGTCTTCAAACTTGGATACAAAGCACAGTGGTTTATTTTTAATTTTCTTTTATTTTGGAACATCTCAGGAAATGTCTGTACCTCTTGTTGGCCGGGTCCCGAGCCACCATGACAAACGTAGCATCCAGAACGGGGGAATAAGCTCCGTCCCGGTACTGCAGGAGGAAACCAAATGACACTTTCTGCTGTATAACTGCATAACCTTCTGTTCGTTATATTTACTCAGCATTCAGACTGGAAAAGTTCATAACTACTGCTACTCTGATCGAGACCAGAGAAACGTCTTCCTTGCTTTTGTTCACCTGTGACATGTGCATCTTTGCCTCGATGGACGACCTCCCGACCCAGGTCACCTGACCTGTGAACTTGATGTCGCAGTCGGGGTAGATGACGTGCTGCCTCATGTCTGAAACATAAAACCAGAGCTCAGAGCTGGACGGGATCCGCCTCCAGACGCTGGGACAGTGATTTATTGCAGCCTCATACCGATCTTATCCACCAGCGCCGTGACGATGGACAGAGGAGACCTCTTCAGAGCAGAGTTATATGTGTGGGAGTAGGAAATGAGGACTGAGGAGGAAGAGGAGGAAACATTTCAGCTTCTGAGGCCTTCTAAGGTCTGAGGGAAATCTTTGTTGCTCCGACTGATACCTGCCAGGCTGTCCAAGTCCTCCAGGATCCGTCCAAACCTGAGGAGGAACACGGAGCAGGTCAGTGGAGAAAAACAGCCCCCAAAAACAGCCTGCCACCAGCGAACAGGTCCATGTTACCTGACCGTGTTGTGGTAGGTCAGGTACTTCTCCCTGAGCTCCGGCTCTGAGCCCAGAGGAAGGTGGACCTCCAGGAAGCTGTCCTTCATCCTCTTAGCAGGAAGTTCACTTTGAGACTTGGCCAGCTTGGATGACAGAGACACACGCTCTGCCATGGCCTGCTGATGGTCGCTGTCCACGGCAGAGAGACAACAGAAGAACATCAGTGATTACAGCAGATCCTGACAAAACACCAGCATTTACTGGGCTCCTTTTCCTTACCGGGATTCATTTCACTCACACTTTCTTAATATTACACATGCTGCTTGAGATGCGGAGCCCTCTAGTGGCCAAAACTGTAAACTACAACCAAATGAACCAACCAGCAAAAGTTTAAGATCTAAATTCTTTCTGGGTTTATTTGTTTTTCTGGGGCTGCGAACAGCCTTCATTAGAGACACACTTTGACCTCTTAGTTAAAGGTCATATTTCACAATAAAACATAATAAAAAAACATGCTAATTTATGTAAATACAGTTAAAGTTGTCTTTCCTGACTATTTCTCCTTTTTCCAGCAATTATTGGATGAGAAACTCTCAATAGGATGTCGGTGCATAACATCTCACACATAAAGGTCATTTAGAGGGACTTATTTACTAAACGGTCCTTTTTTAGGACTGTTGGAGGAGGTCAGAGAACTAAAATACAGAAAGGATTTAAACTCAGAACTTTAAACGGTGCCGCCATCTGTGTTCCTTCACAGCCTTTTATGACATAACCTGCATTACATGTCTTTAGTTTAAAAAAAAGGCTTAAATAAAAATCTCAATTGATTAAATTAGAACTAATGAGTCAAAAAAGATGAATTGGTAAAAGAGAAAGAACATCTGAAAGGAACATGTTTAAAATGTTATTTAACCAGGAAAAAAATCCCATTGAGATGAAAAACCTCTTTATCAACGCAGTCCTGGCCAAGAGGCAGCAAAGTTACATAAGAAACTTAAATAAATTAAAATAAATGACAGGTACATAAAAAAATATAAAACATATCAAGTAAAACAATTACAGGTCATTGAGGCTGCTTCAAATTCTTTCACTTTCAATTTAAAAGCATTTAAATATAAAAACTAGGTCAACTTCCAGTTTCTTTGTAAAAAAAAAAAAAATTCCACACACAGGGAGCTGTGTAGCTAAAGGGTTTCTTCCCTATTTTTGTACGGGCAAAAGGAACAGAGAGCAACAGCTGGTGGTTGGATCTCAGAGCATAAGAAGCCATGCTTTTCTCTGTAAGTAAGGTACTAATGTAAGAGGGCAGTAATCCAAGAAGGACCTTGGAAATCCAAAGTTTACCAATGACACTGCCTCCTCATAGAGAGGAAAGGCCATCCCACCTGAGAGCAAAGGTCACAGTGATGTCATGGCTCTACATTTAGTGATCAACCTTAATGAAGCATGTGAAACAGACTCCAACATTTGAAGACATGAAGAATCAGCATTCTTATAAAATAAGACTAAAATCCATCAGGGAAAAGAAAAAAAATACACAAATAGTTTTATACCTCCAGTTTGTCGAAGCCCCAACTATTTCTCTCAGCCGGTTCCGCACTGAAACAAGAGAAGAAACAGATTTATGTTGCTCTGATGCGATGAAGAGGAGTGAATGACTCAGAGAATGAAGGTTTGTTTCATATCGTCTCACCAGAAAAAGCAAAATATTTACTGTTGTAGCTTTTCTCTATCATTAACAACTGGTAGCAAACAGAAACTCGTTGAGTTAATAGCCAAAACTGCTGAATGTTGCTTCACAAAAAGGCTAAAGCAATGAGACAATATGAAACAAAACAACAGCTACAGAAGGAGAAATTAGAAAAGGAAGTTAACTGCTGCAAAAGGAAGGATTACATCTTCCAGGTAAAGAGACACTGTGTGAAAAAGGAGCCCTGAAATGAGGTCAGCTTCAGGAAAGTGGAAGAAAAGACATGCAGAGGGAATTAGGGGAAAATTAAAGAGACCTGAACACCTGAGGTTCAGGTAGTTAAGATTGCTTAAGAATTACCATTTGAAACGTGTAAAAGTGGATTTCCTGCAACGAAAACAAGATTCAAATTTACAGGCTGAGCAGAAATTCATCAATAAACCACAGACATAAACTAAACTTGAGTTTAGGGTCAGAATCTACAGCTTAAGGTGGATATCACAGTAGGATGTAAAGGTAGCAACTGTTGAGCCATAAACCATGCTTTTATTTTGGACATGGGGACCAATGGCCATGCTGATGTTGATCAAACTCCTGCAACATCCCCCTAATAAGACACTCCCACAGGGACAACTGATCCTTCCCCCACCATGCTTTGGGACAACGGACTCGTCTCAGACTCTCATTCTCTATGCCATGAATTTCCTCTGAGGTTCACACCATGGAGACACCATGATGGAAAGAAACTCAAGCCAAGGACCAGAACCTGCAGACTAAGAGGACCTGGTGGCTAATTTCTGCACCAAATTGATGCAAAAACAGACTGATATGTAATATTTCTCGCTGAGTTTAAAGCAAACGTTGAGATACCAGAGACTGGATGAGAGGAGCATCTGAGAACAGAGAACATTAGCTTCCCTGCTACGAGCTTGACATGCTAAGCTTCTACTCAGCCTTTTCCAAAACAACGATCAGCAGAGGTTACAAGTCTGTCACATTTAGGGAGGGTTTGCAGCTAAACAGTTGGGTTTTTGATATTTTACTGTTGTGCAAGCTAACGGCGACCATACGTAACGTCATGCTGACATGTTTGCTTTTGTTTATTAAGCTAAGAATATTATATAATATAATACATTTGGAATGTTGTGATACATTTATTTTATACAAGGACAGAGTTTGTTTAACCTTGATTTGGGCCTGATTCCCCCTTCCATCTGTTGTCCTGACACACAGCCAGCAGGGCGTGTGTTTACAGAGCGATATATGATAGCCTGGATTTTATTTGATTAGATTTCAAAAAGTTAAAGTTGAAAAGAAACCACAGGACTTTGTTTTCTGAGTTTAAAGATGTTTCGCTTCCAATTCAGGAAGCTTTCTTATTCATGTCAGGATTAGCGTTGAGTTCCAGGCTTTTATAGAGTAGCCCAACAAAAGCCTGCTTATGGCTTTGAAAACATGCAGATTGAAAGTGGAAAACCTGCTGCACCCTTTGATAATGGGAGTCATTGAGGTCGTTATTGGCCTGCAGTACCTGATGGTGGCCCATTCCTCCTAAAGGGCAGTCGTTAAGGGTCATTGTTGGCCTGGCTGACCTGGTGAGATTATTAGCAGAGCGATGGGGGTTGAGATGGTAGCTGGAAGGAATCAACTGTATCGCTGCATTGCAGGTTTTTGAGAGATGGAACCTGAGTCCACCCCCTCTGTTCCTTCACGCCGCTTTCAAACCTCCTGTATACTTTATCTAAAATGTGAACATTCTGGTCCTCAAACAAATGTCCTTAAGGTGTAGGTGTACTGCGGAGTCTTGTTTGGAGGAGGATGTCCTCTGTGTTGGGCCATGCTTCTGTGGAGAGGTTGATTGGTTTCTCCATTATAAAGATCAAAGTATTCCTCACTGCATATACCACTCCGCTCATCTTAAGTCTGGGGTTTTATCTTTAGGATGCGCCAGTCTCTATTTAAGGGTCTGTTTGGTTTGAAATGTGCTGGGATTTTGTGTTTGGAGAAATTCCTCATGAGTTTCTCAGAGACTACAGCAACATAAGGGATGGAGATGTTTTAGTGTTTGATCTTCTCACCGTTATGTTCTGCTGCGTATCTTTTGGATTTCCTTGCTGATTTGAAAAATGCCCAATCAGGGTATCCACAGGTTTGGAGAGCATCTTTGATGTGTTTCTGTTCTTTGTGCTTCCCTTCTGTTTTAGTAGGGACATGTTCTGCCCGGTGTTGACTGAAAGTCTGCGTTCCAGTGGGTGGTGATAGTCAAAAAGAAGATATTAGTCTGTGTGAGTGGGTTTCCTATACAGCTCTATGTTGAGGTTTCTATCTCCTTCCATGCTCACCAGACAGTCGAGAACAGGCAGCTTGTTGTTGTTAGCATCCTCCCTGGTGAGCCTGATGTTGTGGGCTACTGAGTTGATGCTTCTGCATCATTTAGTTGGATTTTTGAGATAATGTGACTCATCTGCAGGTGAGTTTCTGTGCTCATTAACCAATCAGATGCTACAGATGCTAATGCGTAACTGTAATGAGCCCCATGAACAGTTTAAATAATGTCACTATAGGCTGCAGCTCTGGAAATATGAGATAAAAAACAACAACAACACTATATAATGCAATTGTATCACAGTTAAATCTAATTTGGATAATTTTTCACATTTAATTATTTGTTCTAAACAAATATTCATAGGTGTATATAAAAAAATTCTATGAAAATATTCAAATTATAATCAGATATTTTCATTTAAATATATTTGATGTAAATGGTTACCCATATGCATGTTTGTAAAACCTTTCTACTTCCTGCCCATCATTGTTTGCATTGAATGACTGAAAATAAATATATAAAAATGATTAAAACAGACAATTTTATCAATCTGAAATTGATGCTAGAGAATGAAAACAGTGCAGCAGCAGCAGACGATTGTCCTTGTTTAGCATGTTCAACAGTTCTTTAGTGAACAGAGTGAAACAGGCATCCCTGAGGTGGATCAGGACTGACTCACCCTCTGCCATGTCGGGGGCCCTCCCATGATTAGCGGCTGCAGCTATGCAGAGCGACCTGCTGGTCAGAGAAGAGGCAGACCTCAGGGACAGGAACCTGGACCAGACAAACAAAAACAAAGAACAATAAACTGGGAGACATCTCTCTGTATTTAGCTGCATTTACATCCATTCATTCAGCCTATATATTCACAGAACCGGTCTGGGATGTTCCCCGCATAGAGGCGATATTTGGTCCCTCCTTAAAGTTCTTGTCCTGTCCAGACCTTTCAGTCGACATAGGAGTCATAATCATGTATTTAACAGTTAAATTATTGATTTGCTGCAATTCTGACCTCAATTTGTGTCCTTAAAAAGTAGAATAAATAGTTTGGAACAGGTTTCTCTGCATATCAACATAATTGTTTTTGTCATTCTGCTCTTAATAAATTAACTGAATAGTCCAAAAGGCTAATATTACCGACTGCTAGGTTTGCATATTTGTTCCATTTAAGAGCCTCTTAGCTTTGCAGCTGTAATTAAAAACACTATGGAGGCAATAAACTTTAATTTCCACATCACTTTTCTGTTTTGGGACTAGATATATTTACAGACAGCTGAAATTGACTTTGTAGTAACAGAAAAAAAAGGGCAGAAGGCCTTTTTCAGCCAGCTGACAGGCAGTGAGCAGCAGCCACTACGGGAAGGGCTGTTGTTTTATGCTCCATCCAAGCAGTGGAAACTTCTGTCGCTTCCTTGTGAAAAGTGAATAAAACTGTAGGAAAGGTTGATGGATTATTTGATCACTTTGGTTTCTATGCTCTTCTTCTCTCAGTTAAAGTGAGATGTAGTTTAAACTCTGAATCGGAAATACTTTAATGATCCCAGGGGGGAAATTATCTTCGTTACACACTCCAGTATACATATAACATATTTATAGATATACAACATACCACAATAAAAGAAAGAAAAGATATATATATATATTTTTTTTTTTATGAAAAAGTCAGAATTCTTAAAAATCGTGGTGTCACACTGTGAACCAGTTGATCAGTTATTAGTACACATCTAAGAATAAAAAGTGACCTACTGATGTAACCCTGAGCTTTGGAAGCCCAAAGCTTTATTCTGTTTATTCTGCATAAACAGAATAAAGAAAGAAATCAATAAATGGATGAATGGCCCAGCCCTAGTTCCAGCCAACTTTATATCCCGAGAACCAGAAGTAAACATGGAGAAGCAGCTTTTAGTTATGAAGCATAGCAGAAAGTCCATCTGTTTTTGGTACCTTTAGAAGGGTTTGAGTGGAAATAACCTTTGCAATAATTGTAGCACAATAGGAGAAATATGCCATATGGACAACAGATGTCCTGACATGATTTCATGTTCAGAAAGATGTTGTCTTACTAGAATAACTTGTCTGCATTTGAACACTGTGTGCAGTCAGAGTTTCCATTGTGGTTTGTTTAAACTGCTGCACATGAGTCAGGATGAAAGAGACACACCCTCTGTGGGCACACAGGGCTGGGCGGACTCCTTCATTGGAGAAATACATTTCATCATTAAAGCCATAATTCTGAGGACAGATATCTGATACTATCAGTTTAGAAATCTGCACCAATCCCAAAGACTCACTCAGTCATTTTTGTGAAGTTTTTAAGCATTAAATCCAGGTTTTAACCCCCACCGACCTGACTGAGAGCATGCTGAAGTCTGAGCTCGCAGAGCAAAGCGTCCAGGATCCGGATGAAACGAGAAAACTGAACAAAAACACCACAGAAAGCAGAAATCTTCTCTGGAGGACGCAGCGCTGCCAAAGTGACGAGTTTCCGGGTTCCTACGTCACCACGCTGTCCCACAGACGCCCTGCCGAGAAACAAAGGGTGTCTGCGCCCTGAGTATGGTCTGCAAGGTATCTGGAACAAACCAACCTTCCAGTGAATTATAACCAGGATGACTTGTACCCCTAGTGGTCCGCGACTGCATTTCAAGGGCTACGAGTAAATATTTTATAATAAAATAAAATAGGGCTGGGCTCTGTTTTGCTTTGTGGTGACCCAATTGAAAAATGAAACACGCTTTTAACAACCAAAAGCTAAGTTTTTCTTATATGTAAATCCCTTTATATTCCCACAATGGGGAAATTCACTCTCTGCATTAAACCCATCACCTTGGGGAGCAGTGGGCTGCCGCTGTGGGGTGCCCGGGGAGCAGTGTGGGGTTAAGGGTCTTTGCTCAGGGACCCAGAGTGGCAGTCTGTGGGAGTGGATTTCAAACTCACCTCAGGACCTCAGACTCTATGCCCTAAGCACTAGGCCAACACTCTCCCACTAAAACCTGTGGAGATGCCAGGGAGTGAACCTGAGGCCTCATACATGCAAAGCATGCGCTGTGTCACTAAGCTACATCCCCACTGACTTATATGTTTGAGTTCATCCTCGATACACATCAAAACCAAGCAGAGGAGCAGACTGGATGTAGAGAACAGCCTGGGATCAGAGAGCATATAGAGCATATTGACAGACACATTTTTTTTTTATCTTTAATGCAAATTGGCTATATAATTGTTTACAATCTTGGTATAATTGCTGCTCTATCTGGGTCAGCTAAAGTCATGTTTTACAGTCTCTATACTCCAGTTAACGATCAATTGATTACTAAATTATTTGACGATTATTTCAATAATTATTTTGATTAATCTGATTAATTGTTTCAGACCTGAATGTGATCATAGGTGACTTACTCAAAAGAGCTCGAGTTTTATAAATACTGGTTTATAATATGAATTTATTTAGTATTTAGTGTGATTTCTTACCAACTTCCAGGCAACATATTTATGTTGTTTTTATTTGAGATGGAAGGAATAAAATGCCAAAGAATTACATGTTCAAATTAAAAGATAAAAATGGTCTTTCTTCTATACTCAGGTATTGTACGTTCCACTTTTGGACAATAATCAATACTTTTGACTGAGAGGGGAACTCATGGTAGGACTAAATGCCTATAATAATTTAACTTTGTTGATGTCCCATTTGAGAAATTCCCTCTCTGCATTTAACCCATCCCCTTGGGGAGCAGTGGGCTGCCATTGTGTGGTGCCCAGGTAGCAGTGTCGAGTTAAGGGTCTTGTTCTGGAACCCAGAGTGGAGGCAGTGGGGATCAAACCGGGTACCTGCAACCTTCTCAGAGCACAAGCACACTGCTCTAACCACTAACCTAGCACCCCCCGTTCTCTCTAATCTTCACCATGCTTAAAAACTAGAACTGTTTCATTCAGTGGTTCACTTGACCCACTTGGAACAACCATTAATAACTGTCAAATTTAAACTGACAATGATTACATTGAAATACTTTCTGATCATCAAATATTTCAATTTGGAAAATAAACACCACATGAAAAAATGAAATTCTAACTATATTAAATATATTAACCGATTACCAAAAATTTGGCAAATACTCTAATATGTGTGTATATATATATGCCTATCACAGCATCAATAGGCAGTATTCTAAAGTTTACATTTTCTCACTTTAACTACCATTTTTACTCTTTTCATTTTTCTGGGTATCTAAAATAATGAAGAATTAACCTAAGAATTAGAAAATTATTTATCTGTCTGTCCGTCCTTCCGTCCATCCATCCATCCATCCATCATTTCACCAGTGATCTTGCAGGATTTCAAAGACAACACTGTGTAACAGAAAACTCTAGAACTAAGAAACTCCTCAGGTTACCTATTAACTCCTAACCGCCAATTGTGTTCATGAATTATCAAAGCCATTGCAGTGTGAGTGGGGTGTATAATTACAACCCTAACTTAAGGGAAGGATGGAAAATTCCACATATGTTACTGATGTTGATATTGGTTGCTATAGTGTGGACAGTAACATTCTAATGTGAGTCTGGGGCGTGGGGGTCTTTTGATTTCATTAAAAATCATCTGGGGGAAATAATGAACCCTTTATGAAGTTATATTCACTTCAAGTCTAAATATGTTCTAATTATAGTGTATCCATCAACATTTCAAATAGAATTCTGAAAAAATAATCATGATGTAAAGAATAAAATACTTTTAAAGTTTTTTTTCTAAAGCGTCACAACAAAAATAAAACTTTTTGGCCTCCAGTTATCCTTCTTTATCCTGATAGAATGAACAGAACCTTGACTTCCGAAAGGTGGTCGCTGATTCGTCAGAAATCTGAGAGCGGTGTGAACTGGCCAATAGGAGTCGAGTGCGAGCCGGGTATAAAAACCGGCGTAAACAAAGGAAGCGCAGTAGAACAGCAGCGACCCAGAGAGGGGCCACCGGGAGCTGGATGAGCTTGTGTCGACGAACGCGTCCTGACCAGAGGCTGACTGTGGGGGAAAAGCCACTGCGAAGCGAATGAAGAAACACCTGATCTTCCACTTCACATACAGAGGTCTTCTAACGAAAGGAAAAAAGAGTAAAAGAAGAAAATGGATTATAAATTACGAAAAGCTGAGCCCAAGGACGTGCCAGATATATTACGACTGGTGAAGGTAGGAGACAACGGCCACTGTTAAAAGCAGACATTTTTTGTTTTATCTAAATGTTTTCAGATAAAAAAATAACGATGTTTGTAGGTTTAAATACACTGACATACATTGTCTGAATGATGTCCTGAGAATGAGGTCAGAGCTGCCTGAGCCACGACTCATAACCGCCCTGACTTCCGGTTCTCCAAATATGGGCCTTCCGCCTGCTCGCCGAGCTTCTGTTCTTACCGAAGCTGACCTTGTTTCCGAGCCTTTTAACTACCGACCTCACCTTAATAACTAACCCACCCTCACAATAACAACACAGCACTGTTGGCTAATCACCCTAACTTTAAAGGCAACCAAATCTCACTAACATTAAAGTTATTATAGCAAGTGGAACATGAAGTACTTTTGATGTGTTAGAAGGTACAGATGCACTCTGGGTAAAAGGTTCAAAGTACACGGATATAAACATGTTTATTTTCAGACACATTCTATTATTACAATGTTATAATATGTAATTTGAATAGAGGATGTTCAATTATATGTTGAAGGCTGGAAATAATACATTTTATCGATTATAAACAAGAAACCATGAATGATACAGTTAACTATCTATTAAAAAACTGTTATTGAATTGTTTTAATTAGAAAAAACGAAATACAACCTTGAAAATATCCTTTTTGAAGTGCAAGCTTAGGCAGAATAGTTAGATGTAGCCCTTTTGATTGCAGAAAATGCATAAAGAGTACGGATTTTAAATGATAGAATACACAAAATGGTGAAATAGAAATTATTAATAAAAACCATAATAAAGATATAAGTCAAACAGAGCCGACCAGCTGTTCATGTATAGAGAGGCAAACTGTAGAATTAGGCGGAAGTGGAGGAGCCTGATGTAAGCAGATAACTGATGAGGAAGGAGCAATATGTGTGTAAATATGTCTGCTTTTTAATGGAACTGCTACTATTTCAAACCTCCAACTATTATTAATTTAATGTGGAAAAACAAGTTTCATATTACCCCTCCGTTTGCCTCTTGTAAATAAACATCTGCTGATATAGTTTGACTACTTTCTTATTGTTATTATCAGCTAACGATCAACTACAACTTTCCTTTCCTTTGTCATCTTAGGAGCTCGCAAAATATGAAGAGATGGAGAGCCAGGTTACGCTGACGGAAAAGGGTAAGCGTCACGTTATTCTTTCAGTCTGGATGTTTGCATACAACTCTTACTCGTTTGGTTTAAACTTGCACTTTCCTTCAGACCTCCTGGAGGATGGGTTTGGTGAAACCCCGTTTTACCATTGCATCATCGCTGAAACCCAAGGAGAGAACGGCGGCGAAGGTACGGATCAGTCCTGCGTCTTAAAGAATAAAACCTGTGGAGGAGCAGCCTTCCCTTCCCGTGTCATTCTTTATCCCTTAAGGGCTTTATCTGCACCCAGTGAGCCAGCTGAGTTTCTCACCATCTGCTCACGCCACCCGTGTTCTGCCTTCGGGCGTCACAGGCCCTGTTTCCTGTTTTTTACATGAGTGGAAGCAACATAAAGCTGCAGGTGTTCAGCCTTATGTAAACTGTTAGATGTTCTAAAGCGCCGCGTGTGCTGAAGAAATTCTCAGCGTGAGATTAGAGCAGGGATTTTTGGAAACATGGAGCCAAGTTTCCATGGTATCAGCACAGTGAGAAGTAGGTCAAATGTCAACCACCTCTGAGCAGGGAGGAAAACATTTCCATTGTTTTGGTTGCATAAGTAATATGTAAATGTTCAGCATGCAGGTGCAGACGCATGCATTTGTGTTTAGGGTGAAATTGTCTTGATACCAAATAAAGTCATATATTTGAGCCTCTAAATGCACAGACTAAGCACCCATTTCTTTTTTTATTCTCTCCATCTCTCTACAGACTTGAACGTGGTGGGCTTTGCCATGTACTACTTTACTTATGACCCCTGGGTTGGCAAACAGCTCTACCTGGAGGAGTTCTATGTAATGGACAAGTGCAGAGGTCAGGAAATCATTCTGTATCCATTAATCTATCTGAAATGATGGGATGCGTTTTTAACCCCATTTCTGTGCTCTTTAGGGCTCGGCATCGGTTCGGGGATTCTGCGCCACCTCAGTGACGTAAGTATCCGAACACTAAACCTTGTCTTATTTTCAGGAAACTATTTTTTATCAGCATCTTTAGGATGTTGAAAGATTGCTAAGGAAAGCGTAAAGGTGCTGATCTCCCCTTTTTATCCTCCTTCAGCTGGCGATGAAGACGCGCTGCACTGGCATGATGTTCGTCGTGGCAGAGAACAACGAGCCGTCCGTCCAGTTCTACAAGCGGCGTGGCGCCGAGGACCTCTCCC